AAAGCCACAAAAAAATTAATGAAAAGTCGCGGATACGTATTTCGGAAACAATGTTACCATTATCAACGCTAAACACATACTGACACCCCGACTAGAAAAAACTCCCTTATATACCCCTAGTGACCTTATCACCTAGTGACGTTATCACTAAGTAATATTATCACATTTTGCCAGTTTACACAAGTTTAATAATGAATTTTTCAGTGGGCCAAGATCCCAATTAATTAAATTGTTTTTATTTTTAAACATTTCTATTGCTTCTCTGATATTAAGTTCTTTGTAATACTATAATAGTGTGTCGTTTAAAACTAAATAATTGATATAATCTTATAACATAGACTCTAGTTTTGATTGTAGAAATAATGCTTTATCAATTTAAACACTTTTTTTTACTGATAAAATATTTAAATTTATTCAGTCCTTTCTATTATGTTAAACGGACTAAATTTAATTTATAGAAAAAAAATGTTCCTATTTTTATTTGATAATACATTTTCTAAAAAAGTAGGTTCGGTGTATATTTTACCAAACAATATTTTTCAAATTATTGTTTATTAATGAGAATACAGTTCAACCAAAATAATTTCTCAACATATTAATACATTTCATAAATTCCAGTTTATAAATAACACACATACATAAAATAAATAAACAACTAAAAATAATCAACTGCTGTATTTGCTTAAAATATTCTAAAATTTAATTAAAATTATTATTTATGTTAGGTACAATATTTATATTTAACATAAAAAATTTTTAAGTTCTAATAAAATTTTACTAACTATAAGACATTTGCATTTTAAATTTTGAATTATGTTACCCAAGTTATTTTATTCTATTTGTTATACTTTTTGGATTCTAACTACAACATTCTTTGTGAGTTGTAGAATAAAGCCAAAAAAATATGAGAAGTATTATTCAGAAGTAATGGATTATATAAGCGAACAAGTTGGATGGGATTATATGCAGTATTTGGAAATTAACTCTTCTACAGAGACAAACTGTAATATTAAAGACGTTATTTGCAAAGGGAGTCGTACAATACTAGCAAAAAAGTTCGATGCCGTAATTGATATATTAAATTACATGTACGCAGAAGTAATCAAAACATTTATTGATCATATTAGCACTATAGCTAACCAATGTCAAGAATATTACGACATAAACCAGGGAGATAATTTATTACGTTGTGCATTTTTACTTCAGAGTGTTATAGAAATTTCAAAAACCATGTTTGAGCAGTTATACAATGTAATGAACTATCTTAGCAACATAGATTTTAAATTATTAGCGAAATGGAAAAAAACATTCTCAGTACCTATAGTAGATGAAATTTATACTTTTCTAGAATATGCAACATTAAAAAGTCAACAAAATACACAGATTTTTGTCAATCCAAATGATCCCAACACTAAAAATGATGCTTGTGAGGTCATTTTGGAAGTGAAAAGTTTTATCGAAGGAAAAGGTTTCGAGACTTACCAGAAAATTAAAGAGAATAATAATTCAGTTGTTTACAATCATAAACCAAAGTTCTTACTTGAAGAGAATCTAAAAGATTATAATGCACGACAAAATAAAAACATTGAATTGAGTGAATATTTAAGTGAATGGCTTAAAATATATTATGATGAAATTTCAACAAATTTATACAAAAATCTTGGTTTTAAAGAGGTTTTAGAATTAAATGAGACAAGGTAAGAAAATCTAATTAAAAATTTTGTAGAGTAATAGAAAAAACTTATAAATTGACGTATATAAATAACATAAAATAGAACCATATCTATTTTTAAGTATCTTATTACTTACTAGACGAAAAATAATATTTTATAAATATATTTTTCGTATTTCCCAATAATTATGGCTACTAAAAGCTATCAACTTTATAATAAATTTATGTACTCACAAATAATTTTATCAATTATCTTAGAAATAACATTTATGTAACCAAATACTTAATTAATGAAAAAGTTCAAAAAACTGTTATTGACATTATTGTAGAGTAATATGGAAAACTTTATCAATTAACGCATTTAAATGCGTTCAAACTTATTCTGTTTTTTCATGTATTACCGATTGATTTAAAAAATTCTTCAGCATTTAAAGAGACCCTTATATGGTTGTAAATAGAATAGATCCAAATCTATCATTTATATCTTATTAGTTTTATTTGGCGCACTAATTTGAAGAAAAAATCTGAATTTCTGAGTTTCCCTAATATTGTGGCTTCCTAAAGCTACCAACAGTATAATTATACTTGTACTGAAAATATCATTTTCTCAATAATTTTAAAAAACTAAGTATCTATTTATATCATAAAATATTCAATTAATGAAAAAGTTAACATATACAAAACATAAATTAACATTATTTACTTTACTTACGGTATTCCTTTTTTTCCAAATTTCCCTTATTTATTTTTGATAAACAAAATAAAAGTTCTTGGTAATGTTTATACGCTATACGAGAGTCTAAACCCCTAACCTAATAAGAATTCAAAATTGATAAACCACCCTCACATATGATTAAAAATTATATTAACTCAAAAAATAATGCTATCGAACTGGTCATGAACCAGTCAAAATTTTATTTAACGAAAAAATGAGAGGTCTAATAAACCATAATGTACATTTTTTTAGTGTAAGACATCCAGTTCATTTGTATGAAAATATTAATCAAAATTGTATTAAATTCTTTTTATACAAAAAAAAATGTAATAATAGGTTCCTATTTAATTTTCAAAAGTTACCTCTAAAATATACTCATAGGAATAATTTTTCAAATACTATAAGTGATATTTAAAACGGTTTCTTAAAAATTAATTCAATATTAATCTATACATTTTTATAAAAACATTATTTAACGAAAAAATTATAGGAAGTGTATTTAATAAATCACATTGCGTATATATTTTTTTTAAAGTTTCAGATATCCAGTTCATTTTAATATAAATACTAGTCAAAATCAGGTAATCGACCAATTAAACGAAATTACTAATGAAAGTGGATGGTATTCGTTGAAACATATAAATATTATATTTAATGGTCAAGTTATAAGCGTAGAACGTATTCTCAGACACCCAGCAGACAAAAAAACTTTTCATTCTAAAAAAGAACATATATTAAGAGTTATCAAGTGCATTTATACAGAAATACTGTTTAAGTATTGCGACTATGTAAATTACCTATTTGAGTATTGTGAAACGGAAAATTCAAAAGGTAATCCTGAAATAACATACATAGTCTTTGTACGTAAAATTTTTGAAACAGTTCATAAGACAACTAATATCTTTGATATTATGTATAAAACATTGATTTCTTTAAATGAACTAATGGGTGATTATTTTCATGACAACATCAGTTCAAATATAAAATCTTTGTGTAGTTCAATAACAAAATTCCTTGACGAAATAAATTCTGGAAATTATTCACTTGATATTTTGGATAGCAAAAATAATGCCTTTAATCAGGTATCATCAGAAATATACACAAGGCAATGCGTTAGAAATATCTCACCATTTCTAAAATTTAATAAACTGGGTATCTCCTCATTACCTAAAACACACGAAAAACAATGTCTATTACAAAATTTTTTGTTAAATATTGATATACCTGAGTCAATAAGTACCGACAATTTTTCATCTGTTTGTGACAAACTTATTGTATTTTCTAATAATTTTATAAAAGTTTACTATGAAGATTTGGGTTTAAATAAATTAAATTAATTTATTCATCAATTTTATTTTTATTTTTTTATGCCTATCTGGGGCTTCGACCCAAACATGGGCCTTTGGACTGCTCTTACAGGTATATCACATATAAAATCGTTTTTCTNTGGTTCACTGAGCTCTGAGTATAAGTGATAACAGACACACAAATAAAAAGAAAACTCATCATAGTAAAAATAATACCTTCTAAGCTAAAACCATAATGGAATATTAAATAGTAATTTATAAAATGTATAAGTTCAATCAAAGTCTAGAAAGCATGACGTTGAGAAAAATAAAATCATTAGTTACCCAATACTATAATAGTGTGTCGTCTAAAACTAAATATTTGATATAATCTTATAACATGGACTCTAGTTTTGATTGTAGAAATAATGGTTTATCAATTTAAACACTTTTTTTTACTGATAAAATATTTAAATTTATGCAGTCCTTTCTATTATATTAAACGGACTAAATTTAATTTATAGAAAAAAAGTATTTCTATTTTTATTTGATTTTACATTATCTAAAAATGTAGGTTTGGGGTATATTTTACTAAACAATATTTTTCAAATTATTGTTTATTAATGAGAATACAGTGTAACCAAAATAACTTCTCAACAAACATTTTCTTTATAAACATTTTATAAATATTTTCCGAAAAAATACGGTTCTAAAAAATCATTCCTATAATATAGTATTCCATGATAAACTATTCCGTATAAATTCATTCCTGTTAAGTATTTTCCTAATTTGTATTGCATTTCATAAATTCAAGTTTATAAATAACACACATATATAAAAAGAATAAACAACTAAAAATAATCAATTGCTGTATTTGCTTAAAATATTATTATTAAATGTGTTAAGTACTATATTTATATTTAACATAAAAAATAATTAAGTTCTAATAAAATTTTACTAACTATAAAATGTTATGCAAGTTAAATTGTGTATCATGTCACAATTTAAAACATTACGGTCCTGAAATCCATTTCCCCAATTAGTATGTTTTTGAAGTATATTTTACCAATTAATATTAACCTTATTTATCAATATTAATGTAAATATTGTTTCCAAAATAATATATAACAAATAATTTCTGCAGAAATAATGTTCTTAAAAGTACTCTTTTCTTGAATATTTTCCTAATAAATGTCTATTAAAGTAAAATTTACTATATTTAATATAGTTTTCAAAAATATTTCTCAATAAAAATTTCCTAAGAAAAATCATTTGTATGATTACTTTTAAATAATAATCTTAAAATAATCATTTCTATGAGATATTGTTCTATGAAAAATTATTTTTGATATTTACCTAACTTGTATAGTACTTCATAAATTCATATTTATAAATAACACAAGTATAAAAAAATTATTTCAGCGTATTATTTAAACAAAGAATGAACAACTAAAAATAATTAATTGCCACATTTGCTTAAAATATTATTATTAAAATTATATAAAAATGTTAGATATTAGAATTTATATTTTACATAAAAAATGATGAAGTTCTAATAAAATTTTACTAACTATAAGACATTTGCATTTAAAATTTTGAATTATGTTACCCAAGTTATTTTATTCAATTTGTTATACTTTTTGGATTCTAACTACAACATTCTTTGTAAGTTGTAGAATAAGGACAAAAAAATATGAGAAGTATTATTCAAAAGTAATGGATCATATAAGTGAACAAGTTGGATGGGATTTAATGCAGTATTTGGAAGTTAAGTCTTCTACAGGGACAAACTGTAATATTAAAGACGTTATTTGCAAAAGGAGTCGTACAATACTACCAAAAAAGTTTGATGCCGTAATTGATACATTGAATTACATGTACGCAGAAGTCATCAAAACATTTATTGATCATATTAGCACTATAGCTAACCAATGTCAAGAATATTACGACATAAACCAGGGAGATAATTTATTACGTTGTACAGATTTCCTTCAAAGTGATGTGGAAAATTCGAAAACCATGTTTGAACAGTTATACAATGTAATGAACTATCTTAGCAACATAGATTTTAAATTATTGGCGAGAATGAAAACAAAATTCTCTATACCTATAGTAGATGAAATTTATACTTTTGTAGAATATGCATCATTAAAAACTAAACAAAATACACAGATTTTTGTCAATCCANTTATGCAGTATTTGGAACTTAAGTCTTCTACAGGGACAAACTGTTATATTAAAGACGTTATTTGCAAAAGGAGTCGTACAATACTACCAAAAAAATTCGATGCCGTAATTGATACATTGAATTTCACGTACGCAGAAGTCATCAAAACATTTATTGATCATATTAGCACTATAGCTAACCAATGTCAAGAATATTACGACATAAACCAGGGAGATAATTTATTACGTTGTACAGTTTTACTTCAAAGAGCTTTGGAAAATTCGAAAACCATGTTTGAACAGTTATACAATGTAATGAACTATCTTAGCAACATAGATTTTAAATTATTAGCAAGATTGAAAAAAAAATTCTCTATACCTATAGTAGATGAAATTTATACTTTTGTAGAATATGCATCATTAAAAACTAAACAAAATACTCAGATTTTTGTCAATCCAAATGATCCCAACACTAAAAATGATGCTTGTGAAGTCATTTTAGACGTGAAAAGTTTTATCGAAGGAAAAGGTATCGAGACTTACCAGAAAATTAAAGAGAAAAATAATTCAGTTGTTTACAATCATAAACCAAAGTGCTTACTTAAAGAGAATCTAAAAGATTATAATGCACAACAAAATAAATACATTGAATTGAGTGAATATTTAAGTGAATGGCTTAAAATATATTATGATGAAATTTCAACAAATTTATACAAAAATCTTGGTTTTAAAGAGGTTTTAGAATTAAATAAGACAAGGTAAGAAAATCTAATTAAAAATTTTGTAGAGTAATAGAAAAAACTTATAAATTGACGTATATAAATAACATAAAATAGAACCATATCTATTTTTAAGTATCTTATTACTTACTAGACGAAAAATAATATTTTATAAATTTATTTTTCGTGTTTCCCAATAATTATGGCTACTAAAAGCTATCAACTTTATAATAAATTTATGTACTCACAAATAATTTTATCAATAATCTTAGAAATAACATTTATGTAACCAAATACTTAATTAATGAAAAAGTTCAAAAAACTGTTATTGACATTATTGTAGAGTAATATGGAAAACTTTATCAATTAACGCATTTAAATGCGTTCAAACTTATTCTGTTTTTTCATGTATTACCGATTGATTTAAAAAATTCTTCAGCATTTAAAGAGACCCTTATATGGTTGTAAATAGAATAGATCCAAATCTATCATTTATATCTTATTAGTTTTATTTGGCGCACTAACTTGAAGAACAAATCTGAATTTCTGAGTTTCCTCAATATTGTGTCTTCCTAAAGCTATCAACTGTATAATTATACTTGTACTGAAAATATAATTTTAAAACAGAAATCAACATTATTCACTTTCCCTATTTATTTTTTACAAACAAAAAAAAATGTTCTTCATAACGTTTATACGCTATATGAGAGTTAAAATCCCCTAACCTAATTAGAATTCAAAATTGAGCACTCCCCTCACATATAATTAAAAATTATATTAACTCAAAAAATAATGCTATCGAACCGGTTATGAACCAGTCAAAATTTTAATTAACGAAAAAATGAGAGGTTTAATAAATCATAATGTACATTTCTTTTAGTGTAAGACATTCAGTTCATTTGTATNCTTTTAGTGTAAGACATCCAGTTCATTTGTATGACAATATTAGTCAAAATTGTATTTAATTCTTTTTATACCAAAAAAATGTAATAATAGGTTCCTATTTAATTTTCAAAAGTTACCTCTAAAATATACTCTTATGAATAATTTTTTACATACTATAAGTGATATTTAAAACGGTTTTTTAAAAATTAATTTAATATTAATCTATAAATTTTTGTAAAAACATTATTTAACGAAAAAATTAGAGGAAGTACACTTAATAAATCACATTGTATATATTTTTTTGTAGTTTCAAACATCCAGTTTATATATATAAAAATACTAGTCAAAATCAGGTAATCGAACAAATAAACGAAATCACTAAAGAAAGTGGATGGAATTCGTTGAAACATATGAGTATTATATTTAATGGTCAACTTATAAGCGTAGAACGTATTCTTAGACACCCGGCAGACAAAACAAATTTTCATTGTAAAAAAGAACATATATTAAGAGTTATCAAGTGCATTTATACAGAAATACTGTTTAAGTATTGCGACTATGTAATTTCCCTATTAGATTTTAGTAAAACGGTAAATATAAAACCTAATGTTGCAGTATATACAAACTTGGTGCGTCAAATTTTTGATACAATTCATAAGACAACTAGAATGTTTAATATAATGTATAAAACATTGATTTCTTTAAATGAACTAATGGGAGATTATTTTCATGACAACGTCAGTTCAAATATAAAATCTTTGTGTAGTTCAATAACAAAATTCCTTGAAGAAATAAATTCTGGAAATTATTTACTTGATATTTTGGATAGCAAAAATAATGCCTTTAATCAGGTATCACCAGAATTATACACAAGTCAATGTGTTAGAAATATCTCACCATTTCTAAAATTTAACAAACCGGGTATCTCTTCATTATCTATAATACACGAGAAACAATGTCTATTACAAAATTTTGTGTTAAATATTGATATACCTGAGTCAATAAGTACCGACAATTTTTCATCTGTTTGTGACAAACTTATTGTATTTTCTAATAATTTTATAAAAGTTTACTATGAAGATTTGGGTTTAAATAAATTAAATTAATTTATTCATCAATTTTATTTTTATTTTTTTATGCCTATCTGGGGCTTCGACCCAAACATGGGCCTTTGGACTGCTCTTACAGGTATATCACAGATTTTGGTTGGAGTATCGGGCTATGCTGGATAAGTTTAGTGTTTTTGCAAAAAGTATTACTTTGGAATGAATGTAACAATTATATAGTAAT